GCGCAGAGTTGCAGGCCGGCCTGGGAGCATCGAGCCTGCTCAGAGCTCCTGACAGAAGAAGGGCCTCTTCTCCTCCTGTCCCCATCCATCCCCACCACCGCCACCCCAGCAGTGCTGGGCAAATTAAAAGACAACGACTCGGCTTGGGGTCACCAGTCAGGAGCCTTTAATGGCCGGCGTGCAGCAGGACAGCCTCTGCGTCTCTCTGTCGGCTGCTTACTGTGCTTCCCTGGAGAGAGGGGAGCTCTGCGTGGCGGCCCGGGCGACCCGAATGGTCTCGAGGGTCCGGCGGGGCTGGAGCAGACTGCTGCTTCCCACGTGTATCGTCAGCCTCCGGGCCCCGGCCTGGGTGGGCGTGAAGGGGATGCTCAGGTGACGGGTGGCGCCTGCCTCTATGGGCCCCAGCCTGGAACGACAAAGAGGGGATGCTGGATGGCTGTGGGGGGAGAGGGGAGGGCCTTCCTCTGCAGTTTTGGGAAAGGGGGGAGATGCGCTGTGGTCCCCCGGATGGGTGTGCCAGGGGCTGCTGAAAGTCAGCTGGGCACCTTCCAGGCATCGCCTCTTCACACCTGCCCAGCCAAAGTGACTGACCGTGAGGGAGGGAGAATTTGGGAAGTCCACCTGGTAAGCCTGAGGTCCTGCCTGCCCTCTGGACTCTCCCTGCGCCTGGTGGGAGGTGGATCATGCCCCAGTTGGGGATGGCCTCACTGGCTTTCTTGTCCTGTCTCGGGGGGGGGGGACAGAGTTGCTGTGGCTCCGCTCCGGCATTCCTTGGAAAGCAGCCCCCCCCATCCATCCATCTCACGAGAAATCGGGGTTTAGGCCTTTTTCATCTAGGATGTGATGATGTCAATAAAGTGTAGTGATTTATTTTGAAAGCCTGACCTGCTCTCTTGTGGGCCTGTGCAGTGGGCGCTTCCTCTGCCATTGACGACTGAAGAGCCCCTCCTTCTCGCCCCCTCCTCATGAACTAGTTAGAAGCGGGGCGGGGGGGGCCCTGCAAGGCCAACCCCCCTCCCGGCATCCTCCGCTGGAGCCCGAGAGGCCGCCTCTGTCCGTGCCTGCCTTCGGAGGTCGTGCGGTAGCTGCTGCTTGCAGCTCCCCAGGGCACCTGGTTCCCCGTCGCCCTGGTGCCCCATCTGTAGGAGCACAGGGACCCTTCCCCACACCTCCTTTGTTCTCTCCCACCCACCTACGCATTCCCCCCCCCACGTACGCACACCTTAGAGAGAGAGAGCACAGATGGCTTCCACCTATGTTTCCAGCTGCCCCAATTCCCGCCCCCCCGCAGCCCTCCTCACCGGTAGCTCCTCTCCTTGTGCACCAGCCCCCGTCCGGACACAGAGACCACACAGTCTGCCAGGGGCTCAGGCAGCGGGTTGTGCAGCTGGACCTTGGCCTCGGTCGGTTGGAACTGGGTGACCGACTCTGGGATCTGGGGAGAAAAAGGCCCGGGTCGTGCTGTTGCTGCTGGCTGCCACCCAGGAGCTCTGGTGGGGCCAGGCCTTGCTGAGGCCCTTCCTGAGGCCCTTCCCCAGCCCGAGAAAGAGCTTTTTGTTCCAGAGAGGTGGCCGTGGCGGTGGCTGCTCAGCGAGGGCGTGTGAGGGTGCCCGGGCGCTTGGCTGGGCCCCAGCTCTGCTTTAGCAGGCCAGAGGAACTGTGTGCAAAGGAAGCCCAGGGTCGCGGGGGGGGGGGGGGGGAGAGAAGGCGGGGTGCTGGCCACTTAGTCCCTGAGCCACGGTCCTGAGTCACGGCCAGCTGCTGGCAAGCTGCACCTTAGTGGCAGCAGGGAGAGAAGGGGACTTTGCTGCCCAACCTGCATCAGGACTGGGGAGAAAAGTGGTTCGTGGCCCCTCCATTGCCGGCCCCCCCAATCCGGGCCGCAAAGCCAGCCCAGCTGGGGTGGGGGGGTGGGCGGGCAGCTTTTCTCCCTGACAAGGCCAGGGAGGGTCAGCTGTTATGGCACAAGGCGCACATCAGGGCAAGATCTGATCTCTCGCACCCTCCTGCTGGGGCTTGTGGCTTTACTCTCACCTGGACGAGGAGGCCTGGCGCCGCGAGGTGGATCTCCTGCCAGGCCAGGAAGGCGGGGCTGCGGGTGCTGAGCGGGGGCCGGTCCCTCACCAGGGCGGTGACTTTCAGCAAGAGGCTGCTCTTAAGGGCAGGGCCGTACTCTGCGTAAGGCAACGTGGTGCGCAGGACATGCTCTGGAACACAACACCAGGGCCAGCTGCGCATGAGTGGGGTTGAGGGGGAGGAAGGGAAGGGCGACCCCGAGAGGGGGTGAAAGGCACCTGGGGCCCAGCAGTCCCTTCCCTGCGGCCCTTGGAACAGGGAGGGAGCCACCCTGCAGGGATGGCGCGCTTTCCTGGCCCCTGGAGGCCCTGTTGTCCAGAAACCTGAGAACCAGCTGGGCTGGGGACATGGTCCCTGGTGGCCTCCAGTGCTGGGGTTGGGATGGGGGGGACACCAGCCAGGTCCATCCTCCTTGCATAATTGGGATCCGGGGGGGCTGCTGTGGGACTTGTCCCTCGTCCCCAGCCATGCCAGCCTTCGGGGGGGGGGAGGCCCTTCCTTCTACAAGGATGATGGAGGAGGAGGAGGGAGGAGGGAGGCAAAGGCACCTCCTCCCATTCTTGGGCTCAGACCTAGTTCTGACGTGGAGGTGGCGGGGGGGGGAAGAAACTGCCCCTTGCCCAAACCAGGCAGGTCCCACCCCTTGGGTGCCATGGCGGTCCCCTGGGGGAGGGGGTCCTGCCTTCGCTTACCGTGGCGGTCCCGGACGGTGACGTGAAACTCCTCCTTCCAGAACTGTTGCAGGGCCCGGCCGTCGTACCGCAGGGCCTGGGCTCCCAGCACCACTTGCAGGGGCCTCTCCCGGCTGGACGCACTGGCCACGGCCACGGAGAGCCGGGCGTCCCGTCCCAGGGCCAGGGAGCTCTCCTCCGCCTGGAGGCGGGCAAAGAGGAGGAGAGGCTCCTCCGCCTCCACCTCTGCCTGGGCTCCCGGCCTCAGCCACGGTGGGGCCCGGCACCCCGTGCCCCCTCGGCCCGGCTCCTGCCGCTCCGCCAGGGTTTGCCAGGCCTTCTCCAGGACAGCCGTCTCCTCTGCAGACCCTGCAGGCCAAGGAACAGGGTGGGGGGATGCGGGGGGCAGGTTGAGTTCCCCAGAAATAGGGCTGCCTTCCTGAGAGGAAAGGATGGGGAGGGGTGTGGAAGGCCCCAGGGCTTCCCCCTCGTCCAGGACCCAACCTCTGGGTGGACAGATGGATGGACACAGACGGACAGAGTCCCAAGACTCAACGTCCGCCTTTTGGCCTCCAGAGCAGGGCCCAGGCTGTGACCGTGTCCGTGCGCGTGTCTCCCTGTTGGTTTGTGTGCCTGCGTGTGTGTTTCCTTACCTTCGGGAGCCTTGTAGTTGTGGGTGATGTCCTCGCAGCGCTCGCTGCCCACCCCCTTGGTGCTGATGTAGTTGCCGACATACTTTGGGCTGGAAAAGGCAGGCTCAAGCGCTCCGCTCTCCAGGCGCACCCAGGGGATGCACGTGGCATTGGTGGCCGCAAAGAAGGTGGCCACGTCATAAGGCAAGTCCAGGCGGCCCTCCCTGATGGCCTTCACTGGTGCTGGCCCGCAGCAGTGCAGCCCTGGCGGAAGAAGCCCCCGCCTCGGTCATTGGCCTCTTGGCCTGCCTGCCTGCCTGCCTGTCCCGCCCACCCACGACAACCCACGGGCCTCCCACGCGGTCCAGGAGCTTCGCTTGCTTAAGACTGTCCTGGGGGGTGGAGGGTGGGGTGTGTGTGTAAGAGGGCTGTGTCTGGCCAGCAGCATTCCACCCCCTGTGCACTGGTGCATCATGCCCAGAATGGGGGCCATGGCCAGGTCTCCCCTCGACCAGAAACACACGGTGGGGTGGGGTGGGTGGAGCAGGCGCTGCTCCTTCAGCTCCTCTGCCCATAGTGTGTGCGGGGAGGGGGGGGAGATGTCAATGTCGCTACTTGGCTTGGCCCGAGAATTTTCCCCATGAGCCCCCCACCCGCCCCTGGGTACACACCCCTCCCTGTGTCTTGGGGTGTGGCGTCGATGGCTTGCCACCCATGGTAGCCCGGCTCCAAGTCCTGGCGGCTCATCCAGCACTCGTTCCAGACGCGGAAAGGCCTGAGCAAAGGGAGAAGGGGAGAAGACGGGTGTGTGTGTGTGTGTGTGTGTGAACCTGAGCCCTCCCCTTCTTCCTTGGTCCATAGGCACACGGGGGGGGGCTAAGGCTGAGGCGGGTGCCTCCCACCCCCAGCTGGGGGCAGATGCAGGAGAAAGGCTGCGGAGGGTGACGTGCTGTCCCCTGGTCTCACCAGACGCGAGCCTCGTCCTCCTCCTCCTCCGAGGTGCTGGAGATCAGGGCTGCGTTCTCATCAAAGCGCTCTTCCACACTCAGGGCGCCGGCCGAGGAGGAGAAGTTGCTGACCACCCGCGTGGGAATGCCCAAGGTCCTCAGCACTAAGAGGGAAAGGAGAGCATGCTCGGGGCGGG